ATACCTAAACAGCTAGGTGTTACATGACATTCATCTGATTGATTGTATAGGTAAGGAAAGTATTACTGCCACTTCTTATATTTAATATTATGCATTATTTGGGAAAAGAAAGTGGGAATAAAAATTCAGTCGGTCCTTCTGCTCATGAAATTGTGTATGTATATGTATGTACAAATGTGTGTGTATGTGGTGGGTGTATACTGCATTAGAGAAGAGCCTGGAAGGAAATGTGCTCACATGGTGGTTTATGAAATGTGACTACTTAGTTTTCTCTTCATATTTTATTAAAAACTTTTTACAATGTCATTACTTACTGCTGTCATAAAAATTCAAGCTTATGAGAACAACTGATGGCTCAGGAGTAAAGAATCTGCCTGCAATGCAGGAGATGCAGGTTAATCCCTGGGTTGGGCAGATCCTATGGAGAAGGAAATGGCAACCCACTCCAGTGTTCTTGCCTAGGAAATCCCATGAACAAAGCAGCCTGGTGGGCTACAGTCCATGGAGTCGCGAAGAGTCAGTCACGGCTTAGTAACTAAACCACCACCATGAGAACAACTAGTTTAAAGCTTTATTTTTCTGATCCTGGCAAAATTAATAATTTTTAAGAACGAAGGCTAGAAATTGCCTCATGTTTTGGTAAAGAACTAACCAGAAACGGGTATTTTCTAATCTGGTATTTATATTAGTGTCCCAGGGCTGTCATAAAATAGTGCCACAAATTGGGTGGTTAATGCCACAGGAGTCATTCTCACATGCTTCTGGAGGTGTCAGCTGGGCCGGGCAAATTCCTTGTCTGTTTCTGGAGGTTTGTGTGATGTTTGGCGTTCCTTGACAGGTAGATGCACCCTCCAACCCTCCGTCTTCACGTGGCATTCTCCCCAAGTCTTCCCATCATCTTCTGGGCCCAAAGTTCCTCTTGTCGTAAGGACTTGGTCCTATGGGGTTAAGGTCCACCCTAAGGACCTCTTCTTAACCAGACCATCAGTGATGTCTCTGTCCCCAGACAAGCTCCCACTGGCTTCCTTGGTGGCTCAGTCGGTAAAGAATCCGCCTGCAATGCAGGAGACCCAGGTTTGATCCCTGGATCGGGAAGATCCCCTGGAGAAGGAAGTGGCTACCCGCTCCAGTGTTCTTACCTGGAGAATTTCATGGAATGAGGATCCTGGCAGGCTACAGTCCATGGGATCGCAAAGAGTTGAACACCGCTGAAGTAACTTCAATTTCCTTTTCTTCTCTGAGGTTTAGGATCTAGGACTGTAGTGCATCTTTTTTGGGGGGGTGCGGGTGAGGGGGGACACAGTTCAGCTTGGAGCTGAATTTGGGTGTTTTTTGGAATGCTTTCTTCAATTACACTCTTGCTTCTCAGTCTTGTTCTGCTTGTTCTATCTTTATATAGTGATATGTGAGTACCTGCTCCTATCTTCCACCCTTACATTAAAAAAAAAAAAAGTCCCCTGGTAATTCCTTCCCTCTTTTGAATAGCTTTATTTTCATGTCCTTTATCTGATTTTTTTCCTCTTATTTACTGTTTCCTGACTCTATTTGAGTTTTACCATAACTGAATTCTGTGGACATTTTTGTCCTTCAAGCAGACCTTTTCTGGGCCCTTCATGTACATAGGCCCTTCATCCAATAGATCATATCCATCCTTCTCCTTCCCCTCTAATGTACAACTTTATCAGTATCAGGTCAGGTGGTACATTGTTTTTCAGATCATCCATTTAAGTAAGTGTAGATAATTCGCTAATATGTTCTTTTTTTTAAAAAAAAAATTGTTGGAGACAGTTGCTTTACAATGCTGTGTTAGTTTTTACCGTATAGCAAAGTGACTCAGTTATCTATACATATATCACTCTTTTTTAGATTTCTGCCCCATTTAGGTTGCCACAGAGCATCGAGGAGTTTCCTGCATGTACAGCTGGCTCTCACTCCTTACCTATTTTGTACACAGTGGTGTATGTATGTTAATCCCAATCTTTTAATTTGCTCCCCCTCATTTTGGTAACCATAAATCTGTGGGTCACAGATATAGAGAATTTGCTAATCTTTAAAAGCAGCTGCCACAAGAAATGGAAAATCAAGAGAGAAGGTACATTCCTCCTCTTTTTCCTGAAAGCAAAAGTTCTCGTTGGCCTTTTGGTTTTGTCTTTGGCGGATTTTCTGATTCTGATTCTCAGCACAGGCGTGTCCTTGTCATGTCTCCTCTGTCCCCAGGCCAGCGGCCTCCCTTGCAGTGGTGACACCAAACATCTTTAAAAGACATGACTGTGGCTCCATCCTACTGAGATACACTAGTTTTTTTTTTTTTTTTTGGGGGGGGGCACTTTTTAAAAGAGAAAGTTTCATTTGAAAGTAATTACAGACATAAAATATTGGAAAAATGTTTTTAAAGAATGGCTGATTTAACAGATGAATTTACACTCATTATAAAATTTCTAGCAATTCAGAAATATAGACTGAAAATAAAAACCCTTCATATACACACAGAATGTTTTAAGAGCATGTTATGGGCTGAATTGTATCCAACCCCTTCCCCCAACCTGTACTCCACCCCCACCCCCAACACCCAACCAGTTCATATGGTGAAACCCATGTGTTCTCAGCACTTCAGAATGTGACTGTTTGGAGACAGGGCCATTAGCGAGGTAATTAAATTAAAATGAGGCCTTTAGAGTGGGCCTTCCCTGTAGCTCAAATGGTAAAGAATCTGCCTGCAATGCAGGAGACCTGGGTTTAATCCCTGGGTCAGGAAAGTCCTCTGGAGAAGGGAATGGCAATCCATTCCAGTATTCTTGCCCGGAGAATCCCATGGACGTAGGAGCCTGGTAAGCTACAGTCCGTGGAGTTGCAAAGGGTCGGGAACAACTGAGTGACCGACACTCACTAATCCAGTATGGCTGGTGTCCTTCTAAGGAGAGATTAGGACACAGACACACACACACAGAGGGAAGAACATGAGGAGACAAGCCAAGAAGAGAGGCTTCAGAAGAAAAAGCCTTGCTGATACCTTGACCTCTGATGTCCAGCCTCCTGAATTGTGAGAAAATAGATTTTGGTCATGGTATGTGTTTTAGCAGCCCTAGCGAGCTAGTATAGAACAAAATTGCACCACAGTGTACATCTGGGAACTAGCCTTTTCATTGCGAGTGGACAATGATCATCTTCCTAGGTCAGTACACATAAGTTTGGTGATGGTTTAGTTGTTAAGTCATGTCTGCCAGGCTCCTCTGTCTATGGGATTTCCCAGGCAAGAATATGGGAATGGGTTGTCATATCCTACTCCAGGGAACTCTACACATGGACATCTCCAAATGGTCAGTACCAAAATCAGATTGATTATATTCTTTGCTGCTGAAGATGGAGAAGCTCTATACAATCAGTAAAAACAAGACCTGGAGCTGACTGTGGCTCAGATTATCAGCTCCTTATGACAAAATTCAGGCTCAAATTGAAGAAAGTAGGGAAAATCACTAGGCCACTTATGTATAACCTAAATCAAATCCTTTATGATTATACAGTGGAGGTGACAAATAGATTCTAGGGACTGCATCTGGTAGACAGAACACAGAAAGAACTATGGACAGAGGTTCGTAACACTGTACAAGAGGTGGTGACCAAAACCATCCTCAAGGAAAGGAAATGCAAGAAGGCAAAGTGGTTGTATGAGGAAGCCTTACAAATAGCCAAGAGAAGTGAAAGGCAAAGGAGCAAAGGAAAGATATACCCAACTGAATGCAGAGCTCCAAGGAAGAGCAAGGAGAGATAAGAAAGACTTCTTAAGTGAACAATGCAAAGAAATAAAACAATAGAATGGGAAAGACTAGAGATCTCTTTAAGAAAATTAGAGATACCAAGGGAACATTTCATACAAAGATGGCCACAATAAAAGACAAAACCGGCAAGGACCTAACAGAAGCAGAAGAGATTAAGGAAAGGTGGCAAGAATACACAGAAGAACCGTACAAAAAAAGATCTTAATGACCCAGATAACCACAAAGATGTAGTTACTCACCTAGAGCCAGACATCCTGGAGTGTGAAGTCAAGTGGGCCTTAGGAAGCATTACCATGAACAAAGCTGGTGGAGATGCTGGAATTCCAACTGAGCTATTTCAAATGTTAAAAGATGAGGTTGTTAAAGTGCTACACTCATTATGCCAGCAAATTTGGAAACTGAGCAGTGGCCATAGGACTGGAAAAGGTCAGCTTTCATTCCAGTTGCAAAGAAAGGCAATGCCAAAAAACACTCAAACTACCGTACAATTGTACTCATTTCACACACCAGCAAGATTATGCTCAAAATCCTTCAAGCTAGGCTTCAACAATATGTGAACTGAGAACTTCCAGATGTACAGGCTGGATTTAGTAAAGGCAGAGGAACCAGAGATCAAATTGCCAACATACACTGGATCATAGAAAAAGCAAGGACATTCCAAAAAATCATCTACTTCTGTTTCATTGACTATGCTAAAGTCTTTGACCGTGTGGATCACAACAAACTGTGGAATATTCTTAATGAGATGGGAATGTCAGACAACATTACCTTTCTTCTGAGAAACCTGTATGCAGGTCAAGAAGTAACAGAACTGGACATGGGACAAAGGACTGGTTTCAAATTGGGAAAGGAGTACGTCAAGGCTGTATTTTGTCACCCTGTTTATTTAACTTATATGTGGCATATATCTTGTGAAATTCTGGGCTGGATGAAGCACAAGCTGGAATCAAGATTGCTGGGAGAAATATCAATAACCTCAGATATGCAGAGGCACTACCCTTATGGCAGAAAGTGAAGAGGAACTAAAGAGCCTCTTGATGAAGGCTTTCACCTTCATCAAGGAGAATGAAAAAGCTGGCTTAAAACTCAACAGTCAAAAAACTAAGATCATGGCATCTGGTCCCATCACTTCATGGAAAATAGAAGGGGAAAAAGTGGAAACAGTGTCAGATTTCATTTTCTTGGGCTCCCCAATCAATGCCAACAGTGACCACAGCCATGAACTTAAAAGATCCTTGGAAGAAAAGCTATGACCAACCTAGACAGCATACTAAAAAGCAGAGACATCACTTTGCCGATAACAGTCCGTCTAGTCAAAGCTATGGTTTTTCCAGTAGTCGTGTATGGATGTGAGAGTTGGACCATAAAGAATACTGAGTGCCGAAGAACTGGTGCTTTTGAGCAGCGGTGCTGGAGAAGACTCTTGAGAGTCCCTTGGGTAGCAAAGAGATCAAACCAGTCAATCCTAAAGGAAATCAACCCTGAATATTCATTGGAAGGATTGATGCTGAAGCTGAAGCTACAATATTTTAGCCTCCTGATGGGAAAAGCTGACTCAATGGAAAAGACCCTGAGGCTGAGAAAGAGTGAGGGCAAGAGGAGAAGGGGGTGACAGAGGATGAGATGATTGCATGGCATCACTGGCTCAATGGACATGAGTTTGAGCAAATTCAGGGAGATAGTGAAAGACAGAGAGGCCTGGCATGCTGCAGTTCATGAGATTGCAAAGAATTGGACAAAACTTAGCAACTGAACAACTCCAGGGGATCTTCCAGGCCCAGGGATATAACCCACATCTCTTGCATTGCAGATGGTGTCCTGAATTGGAAGGTGAATTCTTTACCGCTAAACCACCAAGGGGAAGGAAGTGAGCCACTATGGACCCTGTGTTGGGTTAGGATTTTTGGTCATGTGTTTCCTCCCTCCCTCCCTCCCTTTTCTCCCTGATTATAAATCATAATTGCATATGCCTTTTGAGTCATTCTGTTTTCTAGGAAATAGACTAATAATAAGAGAAAGCCCAATACTGTTTCATGAATCAAGCAGAGAGGAGCACAGAGGTATTTTCTGTAGAACTTGAGGCAGCCTTGCTGCCGTGTATCCTGCCTTCCCTCCTCTGCAGCATTTATGGGAAGTGGCCAGGGTTGCGTGGGGATAACTGATGCTTCTGTCTGCAACCGTCTGCCATCCCTTCTCCTCCCGTGAATCTGCAGCCCCGTGATGCTGTCCACTATGCCTGTGGATGGTCCCCAACTGTGGCTTCTCATTTTCCTGAAGGGACAGAGACAGAGCCCATCTCTTGCAGACTCAGGGGACTCTGGGCAGCAGGAAAGTCTATTTTCCAGAGGCAGAGAGAATGGTGGACACAGCTGCATTGTAGCAAGACACTCACGGCTACTGGTCACCTCCCTGCCTGTGATGTTGAAACCGATGATGGTCCTTGGGTACCACACGTTGGCTATGTGCAGACAGGAAAACGACGATACCCTTAGAATGGAGCTTTGTTAACTTTGCTTGAGAGTGGGCAATCTAGCTATCCTGTTCCTGACATGACAGTCATTCTAGTAGTTTCTATTTTGGTTTGCATCTGATGATGAGAGCCACATTTTCCATTAAAATTTTCCATCCACTCATTTCCTTTTTTTTTTTTTTTTTAAAAAACAACCTTATTGAGGTATAATTTATATACCATAAAATTCACCCATTTAAAGTGTGTAATTCAATGATATTTAGTCAATTTATAGAGTTGGGCAACCGCCACCACAATCCAGTTATAGAGTGTTTCTCTGACCTCATAAAGATGTCCCACGCTCATTTATAGCCATTCTGAGGGCTTCTTTTGCTCCCTCCTGCCTCCATCCTGGAGTTTTAAATTCTTTCTCAAGGAGGGGGTCAGAATTTGCACTGTGGACCCTCTGGGACTTCCTTCTCTGTTAGTATGGCATCAGTGCAAACAATCTGGCCGTTGGTTTTCTAAACTTCATGGATTCAGAGGCTGGCTCCTTCAGGGAGACCTCAGACACCTGCCGCCTCTCCCCTGGCGACTTCACCCAGAGCTCTTGTTATAGGGGACAGACACCCCCTGGAGCCCCAGGAGGCTCCCCTCCTGCTTCCGCCCAGTCTTTCTATGGGGCTCTTTCACCTTGATGGGCTTCCCAGGTGGTGCTAATGGTAAAGAACCTGCCTGCCAAGGCTGGAGACACAAGAGACACAGGTTGATCCCTGGGTTGGGAAGATTCCCTGGAGAAAGGAATGGTAACCCACTCCAGTGTTCTTGCCTGGAGAAGCCCATGGACAGAGGAGCCTGGAGGGCTAAAACCCATAGGGTCGCAAAGAGTCGACTGAAGCGATTGAGCACACACGCACGCTTTCACCTTGATGGGGAGATTCTGGGGGAGGAAAGAGGTGGCATGTCCTTGGGTACCACAGACAGACTTCTCTGGGTTCATGGTCAGTTCAGACCTCCCCACGATGCCCTCCCACTCTGCTTGGGGGAGTGGTGGTGGGTGGCTTTGCTTCTGTGGCTTCTCCCGCCTCATGAGGCTGCACCGTCATCTTCCCATGATCTTTCTTCCGGTTTTGGCAGCCCTGGGAGTGGTTTGCCAGTTCTGCTGTTGAGCAGAACACTTGCAAACGGAGTGTCTCCCCGCCCCACCTCAGCAGGCAGTCGAATGACAACGTGCTGTGTTCCATGCAACCCCAGACCCCTCTTCTCCGTCCCACTTCATGTAGTTGTTCGTTTGCAAAAGTCGCCAAGCAGACATGCCTCTTGTGAACTGTAGTGTGGACTGAGGTCCTCTCACCAGGAACGGGGCTCCTTGAGCTGAGCTATGTAGAATCTAAAATCTTTGTTTTCCCTGGGCACTTGGTCCACAGCAATCCCTTCACCTCTTGTTTGGGTACTTCACACACCAGTGCTCCACATGCATGCACAGTCCTGAGGCTGAGAAAGATTGAGACTCAGAGACATTAAGTCAACTAGACATGGTCACACGGCAGAGATACTCACACACAAACGGGGCCTGTCTGCAGATGGGAATGTAACGAGGCTCATAGAAGAAATCTTGTACCCAGCACCGGGGTATAGATTAAAATGAAGGTATAATCCTGTGATGGACTATTATGTGGTTATTAAAATTCCTCTATTTAAAATTATTTAGGTCTTCCCTGGTGGCTCTGTGATAAAGGATCCACCTGCCAATGCCAGAGATAATTAAAAAAAATTTATTTATTTAATTGGAGGCTAGCTACTTTACAATATTGTAGTGGTTTTTGCCATACACTGACATGAATCAGCCATGGGTGTACATGTGTCCCCCATTCTGAACCCCCTCCTGCCTCCCTCCCCGTCCCATCCCTCAGCATTGCCCCAGAGCACCGGCTTTGAGTGCCCTGTTTCATGCATAGAACTCGGACTGGCGATCTATTTCACATATGGTAATACACATGTTTCAATGCTATTCTCTCAAATCATCCCACCCTCGCCTTGTCCCAGAGAGTCCAAAGGGACACGGGTTTTTAATCTCTGGTCCGGGAAGATCCCATGTGCCACGGAGCATCTAAGCCCATGTGCCACAGCTACTGAGACTGCCCTCTAGAGTCCAGGAACTGCAACTACTGCGCCCACAGGCCACAATTACTGTAGCCCACACTCCCCAGAGCCCATGCTTCGCAACAGAAAACACCACAATAAGCCAGTGCACCACAAATAAGGACTAGCCCTCCTGGCGGCAAGTCGAGAAGCCTGTGCAGCAGTGAAGACACAGCACTGCCAAAATAAATAAATGAACAAAATTATGCAATTATTTAATTGAGCAATTGAGCCAGTTACAAGCTGTGGGGGAAAAAATGGAGCTTATGAACACACAGAGTGAAAAGCTCAGCCCAGCATGGCATGTGTAACACCCATACTCACTCCACAGAACAGTGCACGTTATAAAGCACATGCAAACAAAAAGGAGAATGAGGATAAAGAGAATGAATAAGAGAGATAGTAATATCATAGACAAATATAAATACCATATGGACTCCTGGAAGCATAGCTCCCCTCTGGCACCACTCCCCTTACATTTCTAGGTCTTTCTTCAGCTTCCCTGTGTGGGTGTACCTCCTTCTAGCCAGCCATTTAAACAGACAGGGTTGCTCAGGCTCAGCCCCTAGCCCTCTTCTCTCCCTAGGTGATCTTGTCCAAGCCCCAAACTTCATTATCAAAACACACCGGGAACCCACACCCAGGTGGCGCTAGTGGTAAAGTCCCCATCTGCAAATGCAGGAGACTTAAGAGACGTGGGCTGGATCCCTGGGTCAGGAAGATCCCCTGGAGAGGGGCACGGCAACCCACTCCAGTATTCTGGCCTGGAGAATCCCAGGGACAGAGGAGCCTGGTGGTCTACAGTCCATGGGGTTGCAAAGAGTTGGACATGACCAAAGTGACTTAGCACGCACACAATCACACACTGCCTTCCTCAGCTGTCTTCCCTGAATACCAATCCAGAGACTCTGTTTCTTGAACAACTCTATTTAAATGTCCCAAAGCACCTCTAAATTAAACCCATAATGATCCTGTCCATAAAACAAGCTTGGCTCTTTCAGCATGCTCTCTCTTAGTGAATACAACCACTTATCCATCTAGCATGACCTGGGTGTCATCTTGGGTTTCTCCCTCACACTTATTTCCACTAGTCAACTAGGCACCAACTCCTGTGTATCTCACCTTCTAAATCTCTCTTGAATGATCTGTATCTCCATCTCTGTTACCACCACCATAGTGCAGTCTGTCACCAACAACCACCTCAATTCTGAAAATAGCCTCCTCACAGGTCTTTCTGTGTTCATTTTCTATACTCCTGATTCTTCCCACGCTGCTACCAGATTGATCTTTCCAAAACATAGATCTAATCATGCCTTAAATAAAAGTCTTATTGATGTATAATTCACATACCATATAATTTACCCATTTAAAGCATAAAATTCATGCTTTTTAATATATTCACAGAGTAGTGCAAACATCGCCATGATCTAATTTTAAGCATATTTCCATCACCCTCCAAAGAAACTACATATCTGTTAGCAGTGACCTTCCATTATGGTATATTCCTAGCCCTAAGTGACCACTAGTACATTCTGTCTCTATGGATTTGGCTATTCTGGACATATTCTATAATCATACAGTATGTGGTCTTTGGGGACTGGCTTCTTTTACTTAGCATACAGTTTTCAAGTTTCATCCATGTTGTAGCATTTATCAGCCTCAGCTGAATGAATGAGTGATGGACTTGGGACCTGAGAACATTGTGGGTGAATTCTACTCTAGCACCAACCAGCTTCATGACACAGTTGTCCCTCAGTTTTCCTCTGGAATTGAATCCAAGACCCCCTCAGATATCAAAACCCACGGGTGTTCAATTCTCTTATATACAATGGCATGGTATTTGCATAAAATCTGCACAATCCTCCTGTATACTTTAAACCATTTCTTGGTTACTTTACCTAATACAGTTGCTGGCAAATGACAGATTCAAGTTTTGTGTTTTGGAACTTCCTGGAACTGTTTCGGAATATTTTCCACTGGTGGTTGGTTGAATCTGTGGATGTGGAACCCGTGGATACAAAGGGCTGACTGTGTATATTGCTTCTTCCTCCCAGGCTGAGTGTCC